AAATGTAATCAGTAATGTCACCATACACTAGAAATGGGTTCAATGCGCAAGGGAAATTATTTTTTGCACTCACACGAACTTTCTGTACAACCCGTAGGTATACCAAGCTTTTTGTGTAACTTCAAAGTATTTATTAATAAATTTGATAATTAATGATATTTGCCACTTACTCATGTTTCATTTCATGTTTACGATGAACATCATGATCATGATTTCATTTTCGATCAAATACTGTTAATTGGAATGAAAAGTTGTCAAGAGATAATATTATCGAGATCACCAGATCATTGAAACAACACAATAACAAAAACCCATGTAGTCAAATGCAGAATGTCACCGATAGTAAATCCATTGTCAGTCCTACAAAGTCGACTCTGTAAATCAGTAAACTGGAAATAATATTAAATTGAGAACCATCGTAATACCAGCATAATGAATTAGAAGTAACTGCCTTTATGAATGATATAACATCTGAAGGCAAATATTTAGTCACTTTCATGTGTCACTTTGGCACAAGAGTGCATCTAATACAAATGATATGAATCATAACAAAATTAAATATAATAATGTTTGTCGATGATTGATAGGCACTCACCATTGTCACTATGCTACCAGCAATATAAGAGCAAACCCCAATAGCGAATAAAGACAGAGCAGAAATAACTAAAATAATTATTATAACAAAGTCCAAAGATCCATTATCAATATGGGCTATAGCGGCAGAATAGAACCCGAAATCTGCAGTAAACGATACTCCTAGATACAAAAATATAAGCCAGTTTCTCACTTTATGGTTGCGATACTCTGTTTCATTTAAAAATAAAATGACATCTCGAATAGTTGTCTCATGATATGGTTAGAAATCGCTCTTCTGTAAAAATAACTTTTCAGTAACATCAAAATTAGCTAAACTATTAGATATGAAACGATATTTATGACAATGAAAGAAGCTCATAGACAGTGCTTCAGGCATGTATGCTTTATCAAAGACAAAGTTATGCATATGAAATGAAAATGGTACTCCTGTTTTATATAAATATATCCAAAATTGTCTCAAAACTTCACCAAAAATAGTTAGATTTGTCAAGTAAAGCCAAAAATATCTTCGATTGCGATACCCGTGAAAAAAGTCAATGGTTAAAGTAAAGCGTATTACATTGGTCAAATATTAAACTTGAGTGTAATAAGGCTTTTTAACACTAATAACTTTCATAATTTATGACCATGTTGTCCAGTTATTTAGACTAAAATATACGGAAGGAAATAGGAACAATTGTAAGGAAAAGGAAAGAAAGCTGACATAGTCTCCTTGATTATATAACTGTGACAACCATAAAACATATGAATACGTCATTAATAAGGGATTAATACAAAATTGGAAATTGAAAATTGAAAAAGTATTGAAATACTTAACCTAACATAGATAAATGATTTTATAAATTAAGCTTGGGTAACTCTACCCTTCACTATACTACTGTGATTCTTACAATTACTGTAACAGTTTTGTTTCTACAGGTTAAGGTACACCAAACTTGTTAGGCTCACTTTAAATTATTCAAATTTGATATTAGTGATTCTTTCTAGTTACTCATGTTTGATTTCATGTTTACGATGAGCATCATTCTTATATTGTAAGCAGGGTTTCGTCTCTAAAGGTTAAGGTATACCGAATTTGGAAGTTTGACTTTAAAGGTTGACAATGTTTAAATTTAATGTTAAATATTTTTCACTTACTCGTTTCATTTCATGTTTATGATAAGCATCATGACCAAGCTTGCATTTTCGATCAAATACTGCAATGAAATGTTAATTGCAATGAAAGGTAATTAGTATTAGTATCGATATAATAGATGACCCAATCGGAAAACGAAATGATGGCCGACTTACAATAACAAAAACATATGTGGTCATATTCAGTATCTCACCAATAGTAAATGCAATGTCAGTTCTGGAAAGTCGACTCTGTAAATCAGTAAACTAGAAATAAAATTTCACTAGTAAATAATCATAATATCGCATAATTAATTAGATGAAGTAAATTACCTTCATAAATGATAAAACATCTGAAGGCAAATATTGAGCCACTTTCATGTAATTTTTGGCACAAGAGTGCATCTAATACAAATGAAATGAGTTACAATAGTGATTCTCAATAATTGATCATTCACTCACCATTGTCAACATAATACCATTCGTGTAAGAGCAACCACCTATAGCGATTAAAGACAGCGTAGAAATAGCCATTATAGAGATGTCCAAGGATCCATTATCGATATGGACTATAGCGGCAGAGTAAAACCCGAAATCTGCAGTAAAAGATACTCCAAGATACAAAAATATAAGCCAGTTCCGCACTTTATGATTACGATACTCTGTTTCATTGAGAAATAAAATGATATCTCGAATAGTGGTTTCA